GTCACTGTATTTGTTTGAGATAATGCCAGTTACCCGATCAAGGAATACAGTGGCACTCTTAGACTCTTGTCACCTAATTCTGTACATTGGTCATGTCCTGCACACAAAGTCATGCATATGGATAATAGGTAAACATTTTCCTGAGAGTAGACAGCCTCATTGCAACTGTGCAATGAGGCAGTCTTAATCTTGTACATCAGTCTTAATCTTGTACAAGCAGGAATAGCTGCTTACGGTGCATCTGAGAGATGCAATCAAAGGGCTCTACTCTGTCCATACAGCTTACTCGTCAGCCATGTATAACACAGTGGGACAATTGGTATTACTGTGTAAAATACCATTCGAAAAACACACATTAGCTTACGCCCAAGGTTTGTGAAAATGGACACTTCATGTAATAGTGATGTTAAGAACTCAAAAGTGTTGCTGGTGGATATACCAGGTTTGTAAACTCATCTCTGAGTGCTATACAAGGCAAGAGTCTGGTCGATCTAATACAAAGTCATGAGTGGTGTAAAGCTAAAAACCATAACAAAAACAAATTTGATGACTTGGTAAATGCATACCAAGCATTGGCGCTATAATCTCACTTTGTGTTAAAACCTTTAGTAAAGATGCTGAACGTTTGACTGCATACTTGAACCTGGAAACTCAAATGGAAAATGCCATTTGACCTGCTCACCGGATTCTCATGGCTGTCAGGATATTCATCCCAAAAACAAATGTTCAGTTTGGATGTGAACACCTTCCCATTTAGATTTGTTTTCCAAGATATGGTGAGAACGATAAACCTGATTTGCACAAATACTAAAACTGCGCAAAAAGAAGAGCCAAGAAAGTCATTTGCATGAATTCTGGAAACTGGAAAATTATAACCCTTGCTTAACACAAAAGGATCGATGCGATTGGTTTATCAATTCCGTGAATTCAGAAAGAAATGTTTCTTTGTATGGGCAGGTCTTTACAAAGCAACAAAAATGCATTATTCCATGAAAGACGAATCATTGAATCAGCTGACAATATGTTTAAAAGTAAAAAAATATATATATATAACAAGACACTGGAGTTTTTCAATGAATTGTATATGATATTTACATACTCTTTGCCAAATGCCTTTTTTCTTATTTTTTCACTTCTGATTTCAGTATTTTTCATCTTTTCTAAGCAAAGCTATTGCATTTACACTGACACAGTATTCTCTTTATATTTGTTTCTTATCAATGTATTGTTTCATAGTGAGTGAGACTATACAGTAAAACTTACATGATTGTTAGTGGCTATATACAGCACATTGTTGTTAATCTATTTGCCTATGTGCCCAAGTTAAATTGAAATTAAAATGACTTATGACAATTAAGGCACCACAAAGGGATGATTATTTAATAGGCTTCAGCACTTAGTTATGAACATTTATTAGTTTTTAGAAGTTTTTGACCTGTTGTATAAACTAGAAAATAAAAAAACGTTTAAGGGAAAATGTAAAAAACACCCCCCTATTTAATCCTTGGAGATCTGAATTTATATTAAATAAATTTAACTTTGGATTTAGTCATGAAATAGGTAAGTATATATAGGTTTAAGTTACATAAGTTATACATTACGTTACATGCTTTTGGAGTTCATTATTTGTCTTGTCTTTTGTCACTGTGAAAAACCATATGGCAGTGGCGTTGTGGTGGGTGCTGGTAGGAGCAGGGATTTGATCTTCGTCCTCCGCTCTCCTTTGAACCCTGAGCAGCCAAAAGAACAATCAGGTTACTCCATGAGAATGGAATGCCTCTCCGGCCCCAGAGGGTTCACTAACTGTTACAGGCTCTTATACAGAATGACCCTGTTAGATTTAGCCTGTTTTGACATCCAATGCGGTAATCAGTTATCTCTCAGCTACCCGTCTGCGTGGTCTGCCTTAAATAAGAAAAGTTCAAATTTCAGCTCTATTTACCTGTTGCTGATTTCAGGAGATTTGTTTTTAATAGGTACTGACATTTCTAATTTGCAGTTTATTTGATGGCTATCTGAAACAACTGACAATATTACATAATTTTGCACCAAAGGAAACTAATATTAAACAATGTGTTTGTTAATTTGTCACACTTTTGGAGTGTTCCATCTTTTCCATTTGCTGGCCTAGTGTGACCTGCTTTAATGTAAAAAGGACCTTTCTGCATGACAAAAGTCTTTAGAAGACCACCGCACAAATTAATCTGGTATCTAAAAAAAAAAAGTCCTTCCCCAAGCCAAGACAGGGTTGTTCCAGTTTTGTTGGGACTGTTTAAAGTATTCATATGGTAATGTTTAACGATGTATTTGTTTAGCCTGAAATTGAAAACAGGATCTGGATTTCTCTTACATAATGGCCCAAAGTGTCTTTCTGAATTTACCAAAGTGTGAAACTTATGGCTCTGGAGCTCCTGGAAACGGACTGAAGTGATTTCAGGTGGTTCCGAGTTTGAGCTCACTAAGAAATAAAAATGAATCCGTGGAATTCTGCAATGACTCGAGACCCCATTGCTTGTCCCTCTCATTGTGCTTCTCCGTTTTAACCAGGTATCAACAGTCTATGCATACATAGTCCCTTTTCATATTATCGAGGTCATTTTGCTTACTTTTTCTCACCTGGCAGTCATATTATGCTATGAATAAAAGCCTTTATATTCATAACACTTTTTTTGAATGGGGAAATGAAATATCATTACAGTGTAATGATTTTATTGTAATATACTTGCATCGCATAATTGTCTTCAGTTTAAACAGTAGATATATTGAATGTTAGAATATAAAACTCTTCCTAAAATCTGGACTCCTAGGGAGAAACTCCTTGCCCGAGAGTGTTTTTTTTTTCTTGTACCTGTTTGCGCCATGTGATTACGGTAGTCAGCCATGGTCTCTCGATAGAAGTTTTTGCTTTTGTCTCAAATCTTTTGTGTGGATTTCTCGTTCTTGATGAAAACAGGAACTTGCAGAGAGAGAGATGGGATGTGTTGCCTCACAATAATGGTAATGAAAATGACTTTGGTTTTAATAGCCTTTTGTACAATTAATCTTTAAGATTTCCTGCAGAAAATAAATCACAGTATTACTGATAAGTGCGGCCTGTTTTGAAATCTTATACTGTGTATTGTTGTCTTTCTGTTCCAGTTCCAGAAAGTTTCAAATTGAAGTTAAATCATCAAATTAGGTTAATTACTTCGTCTGTTTGTGATTCCATGTAGCGTGAGAGGAAAGCGACCTTGTGTTTTTTTTTACAAAGTTACTCACAGGACTGTGTTTTGAAAAGAAAGGAGTGATTATTTGAGTAGGACCTGCTTCAGTAATGAGCCTGAACTGTTTCATACACCAGTATTCAAAAATGTCTTGTGAGGTGCTTTTTTGTAAGAAAAAGGCAAAGCTGTTTACTGGTAAGTAATCATTTGCTCTTATAGTAAAGTGTCAGTCTGTGAACTGATAATAGACTTAGATTTATAGGTCTCTGAAATGAACTGAAGTCCAGCAGGAAATGTGGAGGGTTTATTGGAAATCCACAGGAAGCCCAGCTGCAGTGGTGATGCTTGGATCAAAGAATGCCTGTGTTTTTTTAACTAAAATGACACATCTCTATCTGTACGTTCAAAGAGGAGAAAAGCTGGCTTCAATTTCTGGACAGTAGCAGGACCTGACTGGTGTGTCGGCTTTCGTTGTCACGACATTCAGAGAATGAGAGAATTGAGGGCAATAAGTAGTCTGACAGAGGACATCAAAGGAAAAGGACCTGCTGAGAAGTGATTCACTGCTAATTGGGTTAGTCTAAAACACTCAGCTCTGCCACTGTTTTGCAGCTAAGAAGACTTGACTGCTGTGCTAATTGAACACACCTACTTAAGCTTGCCTGTTTCTAAGGCAGTCCTCATTGTTTTATAATTAATATCCATGACAAAGTGTTCTTTTTTGTTTGTGGTATTTTTAATCTGCTTTCTTTTTAGTTATGGAGAGAAAAGATTGAGGATCAGCACAAATTCTTCATACATGTAGGGTTTTGTGAATGTGCGGTGCTTAAAAACATTGGAGAATTTTTTACAAACTTGATTTTGTTTGTGTGTTGGACCTTGGGGTTCTATGTGACAATATCAAGCTGTCATTATCACAGCTTGATTATCTGTGCTTTGGATTTTGTATCAAGTTGCAGTTTTATACTGAGCATTTTTATTACTCTAGTTGTGCGTCTTGCAGTGAAATGAACCTCTCATAGTGGTGTAACTACCTGGATTTTTTGTGTGACTTCAAGCTCTCCCTGCCATATCCTGAACTGTGTAGATCAGAAGCTCAAATGTATGCCTGTGGCAATGGGCAAACCCTGGGATTTGATCATATATACTACACTGGGGACCCAGCTTGGATATAATAAATTGATATGGAAATGGATTCAGACTTGAGAAGGGGGATATGGCATTTCTAGCTTGTTGTCGTGTTACACTAACAATACTATGCTGTAAAATCATATTTTTTAACTGCACAATATTATACATGTATGGTCAAGTGATGGTTTTAAGTGAATCCGGCATAAGCTGAATTAATTGAGCTCTTGGTCCGGTTCATTTAATTCTGAGCCATGCCTACAAAGGAGAGGTATTCTAGATTCTCCACGCTGTCTTTATGGCTGTATTGCTTATATGCAGCCATACTATCTGGTAAGTACTAGCATGTTGCAGGTTTTAAACACGTGTTCTGTTGATCTTCCCATCTAATCACATCACATATAAAATACCAGCTTTCTGAGTATTGAATAGTGTACCATTCAAGCAGTGAAGGCTGGACTTGGCTTTGTCCTGGTAAGGGGTAATTGCTTTTGCACCCTTACTTTGGTTTAGTGCTGGTTTCTAGCTGGACTGAACTGGAAGCAGGGTCCTAGTGTTCACTTTGGTTCTCCGGAAGTGGAAGAAGTGCACTGCTAGTGCTATACACTTCCTGGTTTTCTCCCTGCCTGACACGTTCTGCACCTTAACATTTTTTTTTTCCTCTTTTAGCATGCTGGCAGATAAACTGAATATGACACCTGAAGAAGCAGAGAGATGGATAGTCAACTTAATTCGCAATGCAAGGCTGGATGCAAAAATAGATTCCAAACTGGTAAAGTTTCATTTCTTTTTGCTTTAATTTATTGTCAGATAAGTAATTACACATGATATGAAGTAATCTTCTATCTATAAAAAGGGAATATGCACAATGTACCTGGATGAAGGAATTTAAAGTTCACCAGATAGTTGGGTAAAAAGCCAGCAACCAGAGCGTTACAAACTTTTCAAAAGCTAGACAGTTTTGCATTACTCAGTGGAATTATAGGTCTGCTTTATTCCTGTAGCATAGACCATTACACATACATTTAATGAATATATGCAAAATACTGATCTGCTTCTTAAATAGTGGATATGTTTTGGAACAGACTCCGTATAGATGATGAGCATCAACCACAATCACTATGTCAGTTTTGTATATTTTAATCAATGCATGCATTTTAAATATTGATTATGTGGTAGATTGAAGAACAACAGTATTGCGTTCCACTTGTATATAAAGTGTATCTTCTTGGTGGACTGTAACTGGTATCTATTTCATTTGTTCTAGGGCCATGTTGTAATGGGCAACAATGCCGTATCACCCTACCAGCAAGTGATTGAGAAGACAAAGAGCCTTTCGTTTCGCAGTCAGATGCTGGCTATGAACATTGAGAAGAAGCTTAACCATAACAACAGGAATGAGGTGAGGGGCTTCAGCACTGCTGTCTCTCGCACCTTCAGGGCCCTGTGCTTGATTCTAGCTTGGCATCCCTGTCTGTGTATAACTCGAGCTCCGTGTGTTTGTAGGGCTTTTTCAGCTTAAGAAGCGGAATTTTTAAAGGGACGCTGCATTAGAAAAACAAATGTGGGGCACTTAATTTGCTATATATAAAAACAGCAAAAAATTACTTCTACAATTATTGCTGGTGCTCTTTGGCAACAGCTAGCTATAGTATAAACCAAGTGTGTTGGCTTTCCATTCGATATAAAATGATACAAACTTTCTCCTCTTACCTTCAACCACACAACCTTATTTCTTTTCTTTGAAGACTTAGTTACAAGGCCCTTTTCCCCCAAATCCTTTTTGAAAAAAACCTCAGGCACAGTTTCAGCCAAACGAAGGTTAAGTGAATGAGGTTGATATCCGCGAGAGGAGTTTGGCGGAAGTTTGTGTACAGATATGGCAATGTCATTCCCACCCCCACCCCCATGTGATATCAAACTAGATCTGTGATGATATTGCAAAAGAGCACTAGTTTCTGCTGTTGGCTTTGCAGGCCTAGATAAGATGCAGATTGAATCCTTGCTGATGTCTGGGCTGCAGCTCCCACACAGGACAGATATATGGGCTCGGTAACTGAATATTTTACACCCATTACCAAACTGAATAAACCCCCCATTACAACCAGAATTGCTTATGGCACTTTAGAGAACCAAATTAGTTTGATGGACTGATTAGTCCCTAAATTTATTTGTTAATTTAATGGTGTTTGTGATGTACAATTTAAGACTAGCAAACACAACAAGCATGATTACAGCTGTATGTGGAAGCTCTTAGTTGTAGATGAACATTTGCTAGACATGGATGCTCATTTAGAAAGTTTATATTTGTACCAGAAGCGTGGGAGATCTGTAGACAAATTGATGTTTTTTGTCGTACTAGCATATTTTATTTTGACTAGTTTGTCTGAAGGTACCTAAATGTTAAAGAAGAAATCGCAACCGGACGAAACTGAGAGGGAAAACAAGCTGTCTGATGGATAAAATAAAAAATATCATGCAAGTGTAGCACTTGAAAAAGAAAAAAAAGGATTCAGATGTCTTCAAGAAATAAGTTATTTTGTTGTACCTTTTATTTGTTTAATGCATTCCATTTTAAAACTGTTGCCCTGTGATTTATTCAGCGAACATTGTAGAATATCCTTCATTTCTGCTTAAGAAGAGTACAATTACTTAATGTGGGCTTAGAGGCACTTGCAGGGCTTGGGCTTCTAAAGATACCTTGAGGGCTCTGATTTTTTTTAGAGGACTACTGGCAAGACTGATGTCAATTAAGCTGTAAAAGTGTGAGTCACTTTTACACAACTGTGAGTCAGCAGTATAAAGGCCAACATACTTTTAAGGTCCTAAAAAAAGCACAGTTAAACCTGTTTCTGTTTTGATGCATTTTGGAGTAATCTGAGACTTTCCCCATATCATTAAGGCTTTATATGTCTTCTGTACTTAGTGTTGTATTGTGGCATTTTTCATTTGCACAGGCACTTGAGAACGATGCAGGATCACTCTGGCTATTATAACCTCAAAATGGTCAGATTCCCTGAACCTCCCCCTGGTTTAAATGAGTTGATGTGGGCAAGTGGAATGGCACTTTAAAAAAAAGTGATGCACACAGACCCTCAACATAAAATGTGGCACTGCCATTTACTGTTCTTTAGAACTAGTGCAACAGCCAGTAATTATGATGTGCATTAAATGTTCCCTTTTTACTGTGTAATTTCTAGTAGGTATCTTTTGATGTGTTCAATTACCTCTCAATTGTTCTTTGAATTTTTGTTGTAAAAGGAACTCCCATAATTCATCCTAATAAAAGCATAGCTCCCATCAAGGAATTTTGTAATTAGACAAAAGAGGTTGCAAACAAATTACAGAGCAGTATTAGATCTTTGGTCCTTAGGCTACAAATCAATTATACATGATGCTTTTATTCCATAGTCTGGATTTGCTGGATGGATCTTCCTCTGTTTTCCAGTTATACAGGATTATCTTGTTTTAAGAGCTCTTGTTTTAATATGTGATTAACTGAGAACACCTTTTGTTTCATTTTTGTCTTATAGGCTCCAAACTGGGCTACTCAGGATTCGGGATTTTATTAAACAAACAATTCAAGACAAAGCCAGAAGAGCAGTTTCGTATTCTATCACGTACAGCATTCCTATCCTGTTGCATCTTTAAACTGTTTTCTAAAAGAGCTTTGCATTGAGTAGGGATCTTAAGTGATTCAATAAAACAAGTACGGAACTTTATTCTCATTCTGTATTGATTCTTTGTTTAATTGTTTTTGGGAATCAGCTGCCATGACTTCAGCAATTCCTTCCCTCTTCACTTTTTAAGGTAGTTTTTTACTGTTAAGCCTGCTGTGAGTCATGAAATATGACAATGAAAAACTATTTTTAGGATCTCTTGTTTTTGTGACAAAGCAAATTACGCTGTGGTAGTTTATACAGTATTGTTTAGTCTACAGATTTTCACCTTTGCAACCATGTACAAAGTTTTGCTTGAACTGACAGCCATAGAAATAAGATTTTAAAATAAACGTTTGATCATTCAAAAATATGAAAACATTTTGTATCATAACATTTTAAGTTTATTCATAGCAGTTAAATCTGCACACTGTTCTGAAAAAGTAACATACCATTGTACTTTGATTTATCCAGAGTGATGTATCTTTCATTCAAGTATGATAGCATTTAATTTTTCACATCCATTACATGTTGGTTTAGTTAGAAAGAAGAGCTGAGATATTGTAAACTATCCCAGACGATTTCCTTTCTCTACTAAAGGTCCTGTTGGTAGCACTGAGATTCATGTAGTGTTTAAGGGGAAATATAACCTATCGCTAACATTACCATAATATCTTGTATAAACCTCTTCATTTTCATTGACTGTTTGAGTCACACAATAGCTTCAGTGTACTCCTTTTTCCTTAATAGACTACATGTGTAGTATTAATGCAATTCCCTTCTTTCTTTGTGCTCAATTATAATACTGATTTCTATATGGAACATTTTTGACTAAGCACTGTGTATATTTTATTTTGTAAGATGCTTGTCCTCTGTCCAGTGTCTTCAGTAACAGCAGTATAGATTGGGCTGAACATGCAATACCTATTTGTCCTTCTTAGACTCACCCCAATTCAATTCATAAATAGCAGTACAATTATTAAAGCTTCCATCTTTTTCACTTGTTTCAGTTAACACATTTCGGTTCACTGGTTCTATCTGCAGTTTTTTAGAACAAAGTTGACTGTACAAAATGCATGTTCCAACTCAAGCTTGGAATCTTGTCCAGTTAAATGCTTGTCAACATCCTTGTACGTTGAGTTGCTATACATCTCAGCTGTAGATCTCTGCTTCTTCCCGTTTCGAGCTCTACAGAGGACTGCTTGCACAATGAAAGCCTGGACAGTAGTTTCCTAACTATAGACCATCTCCACTTAAGGTTAGTCGCTTGGTAATTATGAAACTGAAGGAACACCTCTCAGGTCTCACTCCTGCACTATCTTCTCTGCAAATACACACGGAGAAAACCATTCCGATTTTATTTTGTGGGTGATGAAACAGACTAGATATGTTCAGCTTTGTCACGTGTTAGTCTTTATTACACTCTGAGGAGTGCTCTTCCCAGTTTCTGTTGCACTTAGACTAAATCAGACAACTAAAAGCTGATCTCATATTAGTCTACATGGCAAAAAAAGTCAGCTAATTGTTTTGCTGCTTCTTAGTGATTAAAATGCCTTTGTATCCCTTTTTGGACTCAAAGCTTAGAGCAATCCTTCATCACATCTACTTAACAATGCTTCCAAGCTGTAAGAAAACAAACCAGCCACTGACCTGTGGCTAAACAGCTTTTCATCGCAATGTCTGCTGCTGTACTTAAAAACCATGAATTTCTTTGCTGCAGTGAAAACTTGTCTTTTTATCCCTTGACAGAATTTTATTTTGAACATCCCGCTAGAGGAGGAGAGCCTTTTGTCCACGATATTCTGAGTTACCAGGAAAGCTCATAATCGGGGAACGTTTGTGAGCGATGATGTCGATCAATTGATATTCTAAGTCACCATTATTCCTGACATTTCTCAAGATATATATATAAATATCTCATATACAAATGCCTCTCTTTTGCATTTTGTCTCATGCATCCTCCCTCCATTCCTTCTCCACTTTTGTTCTTAACCCTTTTAACCTTGGTTAACTCTTCACTTAGCATGGGAGTCATAGCCAGGTTGTGCTATGGCCATGGGCTGGGTCGCAGTCAACAGTGTTAATCCAAATCTCGCTGTATGGAAATACTCAATATGTATCGTCAATTCTTGGGTGTTGTGAAATGAGTAATGGAGCTGCTTTCGTATAATTGCCTATCTGCTTTGGATCCAGAGAATCTAAGTTACTGTTCAATATTTTGTGGATTGTCTGTCTTTGTTATGCAACATTTCTATCCATCTTATGCTTCAAATTGGTAATCTTTATCACAGATACACAGCCCAGTCCTTGAGCATAGCGTGTCCTGCTATTTGATATATAGGACTTAATTTAAATTGGCTGCAGTGTTCCTAAAAGGATTCTAAAATTGCAGTTAATCTGCAAGATGAGATGTTAATGTGCTCTTTGGGAGAGGGTATGTAGTTATTGTGTTTAATACTGTTTTTAGACAATCACAGTGTATTAAAAAGTTTCTTACTCTGCCTAGAGTTTAAAAACTGCCATGCACTGATGAAAGGCTTGTTTGCTCTTTTTTTCCTTTGCCTCTCATTTTATTAAAAAGCAGTTTTTAAGTAGGGTAAGAGTCCTTCAATTTGTTGAGTTCTGTGTTTTGAGTTCCATCTCTCACAAACTGATTACTTTGAGCTTTTGAGAACCTTAACTATGTGTCTCTGGAAATTCGTCCGTCTGTCAGTGTATTGTTAGTGGGTTAAGAATCGGCAGAGTTAAAATCAGAGTAAGGGTTTAGAACACATTTTAATCGCATACATCGTGGTTTAGAACCTTCGAGCGCCTCTGGCAAACCAGAATGTTGAATCCCTTCCCCAGTTCTGTGGGTTTCTATAGCCCATCTCGGAAAGTGTAATTAAAAAAAAATCACTGGTCTGTTAAACATTAATCTTAGATTTTTTTTAACAAGTGCAACAGGACAAGCTCAATGCCACTGCGTTAAGTTTTTCTTTCTTAAAATTTGCTATTGTTCGTATATGTAGGCTACTTGGATGCTGTCCAAATGAAGCTGGGACAAAGCGGAATCCACATTTATATGACCTTTTCAACTGTAGTGTGTTTATTTTATTTTATTTTTTGTTTTAAGTAAAAAGATTTAACGATCCGGCTATTCAGAGATGTACAGAGAAATTAGAGAAACCAATCGGCCGCAGCGTGCAGAAACTGCGCTTCTGCTTCAGCGACCGTGAAGGTGTAGTTTTGCGCAGCTTGCGGTTTCCAGTGTGCCTTTAGTGGTGAAGAAATTAAACCCTTTATCTTTCGCATTTGTTTTCCGTCGTCTCCAAGTGGCAACTGGTTTCTTTTCAAGCTTCTACCGCTACATTCAAGTGGAGAAACTTGACAAATGAGTAACTGCTTGCAATAACCGCGTATAGGCAATTTCATTACGCACAAATAACCTGTGTCCGTGCAGTCCTTGGGCTAATAAATACTTAGTAGCACTTAAAGATTAAGTGCCACACCTAGTGGCCGAGCCGGGTAGGACACCTCTAAATGTTTTATTTTAGAGCTCGATGCATTGAAATTCAGGAAGAATAACTTGCAATAACTTGCAAGCACCAAAGCCAACATTGCAGCAAATAACAATAGGATATACGTTAATAGGAAAGGTGCATTGTTTAATAGTGGTCTGGGAGACTAACATGGTAAGACATCGCGTTTTGTTCAGATACCATCCTGCATATTTTCTAGATTTTAAATAAATATGCAAGTTATTTAGCTAAATGAAAGGCACTTTTTTATCTTGAAATATTTTATCTAAGTTCGTACCAGATGTGAAATGTATAACATTTTAACATTTCTTCATATACATTAAGCATTAGTGCGTTATGTCTTAAATAAAATCCAATTTTTTCCACGTTGTCTTAAGTACCTATATATTTTGTAAATGTGTTCGGGCTAGTTTTGATTCCCAGTCCTTTTTCAAAAAGGCCGTAGTAATCCCGATCATGTGGTATTAAAGAATGTAATACACGTTACTAATAGTCATTGTTAAATAAAAAGTGAGGGTGACGTATCTATTTCCCTAATAGCCTCTTGCTTGCAATGAAACCAACATTTTGCCCAAGGAAAGAACATATTGAGGTTTATTTCCCCAGTGAACTATTGGAACTGCAGAATTCTGGATTCACCTATACTATTGTGTACACTGCCCATGAAATAAAGGACACGAACAAAATAAACAGAGCGGCACCAAATGTCGAAAGAACAACACATTTAATGTAGCAACAAGTTAAACTCCTCATGCAAACCATGCGCAGAGACAAACGCGTTAAAACAGACCTGTAAATGAAGTGCGTCAGTGACATTTAAACACGTCCAGCTCACTGTGAACCTGGGCAGGCTACTCCATTATTTTGATATGTTGATACGTACTTGCTAAAACACAACACCGCATCGAGAATTGCGCTTTAAAATGCACTAAACAGGATCTAATCCTCCCCTTCTTGAAAATGGAAAAGAAAAACCCACTTTTCCCGCATTTCTTTTTAATCTGTCCCTGCCGCCTACGTCATTTTAATCCGTCTTGCGCTCTTTTCATTGTTTTGCCTTTGTTTTCATATCACGACCACTGTGGTTGTAAATAAACGCAACACAGTATTGCAGTACATAGCACTACATTACAAATGCATACTTTTAGTTTCAAGTCATTGCAAGGTAATTTATTTAACCAACGTTTTCTGTAACCCTTCAAGAGAATCATTCTGGAGGGTTCAGCGGGTTTGTGTGCGAAATGTCTGAAGCCTGAGACCACAACCTTTCACATTTCCTCTCGCAATTCGCTGTTTATTTTGATTGTAACTAAATATTATTGGCGAGGATGTTTGATTTACATAGGGCAACTTGAGTCCTTGAGGGCCGCAGATTCCTCTGGTTTGCATTCTGCCTCTGGTGCTAATTACATCACTGAACTAATTATTTGGATAAGAAGTCAGATCACCTGTTTTTGTGAAGTCATTAGTTGTAACGTGTTAAGTACCTACAGTATACTACCTGCAGGGCCCCCAGCCTCTCAAGAGTGGCCCATTTCAGATTCACATTTATGAAGTGCTGAAATCTTAGTATAACTACTTTCCTGTTAGCATTACCTCTGTTTCCCTCCTCCTCCTCTTATTAGCAAAAACAACAAACATTGAAAATTGCAAATATTGAATAGCAGGGGTTTTAAGGTAATGCGTTCTGTTGGATTCAGAGTGATTCTAACATGCAGAGTAGGAGTACTATATCAGTTTAACTATGCGTAGGTGATATATTCGCAGGTATTCTGTTGCCACAAGCAGAGGACGAATTTAAAACGACATGTACAAAGGGAGAATTCAATGAGGTCAATCTGAACACCTCTGTGTGTTGAATAAGGTTATAGTTCTAATGTGGATAACATCTCTTAGCTTAATGTACACAGTATATATCATGCAGTCCGCTAAAAGAAAGCGTCTTAGTTTTATGCCTGTGACATATCAATTATTTACATTGGTTTTTCATGTTTTTCTTACTTCTGATAACGTTGAAGGTGCGCACAAAAAACAGGAATTTGTCTATATTTACAATTGATATTCCAAGTAAAAAAACCTAAATAACATTGGTAGTTTGTGTTATTTTGTTTCGCGTGTGGGAGGCGTGGCCAGCACTAGGACCCAGCGGAGATCTTTCTGGCGTGTACTACAGATGCGGCGAATTTAACAGCATGTGTCATCTTCAAAATCTTAAAAAGAAAAAAAAAATCCGTGACTCTGGCCAAGGGGGCTTCGAAACTAGCTAAGAAATCCCATAGATCTGGAAGCTTTCACGTGACAGGAGCGGCTATATAGAAAAAGCATCCAAGCATCAGGACCAGTAGTGGTATTTCACCTCAACAGATCACAGATGTAGTCAAAATAGAATCAATGAATCTTTTTTATCCGTCTGCCGCTAATAAAAGGGAGATAGGAATTAATCGTAGCTTATCATAAATTACTTCGCCTTCAAAAAAAAAAGGACACGCTTTTTTTATCGGGAACCTATTAGATAAAATCGAAATTGCTTTTAAGAAGCTTTGGTGGGAAGGAAACAAGGTTCTCACAGGAACGGATCTCTGCAAACTTAACTTCGTACACTAGGCATGCTGTATGCTTCAAGCTCACAGTGGATTGCCGAAGGGACATAGAAATATTTAGACTAGAAGTCTAGAAGCGGACTTACCTATGATCCATGCAGGTATTTTTTTTTTTATTATCGTTCTGTTATGTACATTTAATGCTTTGGATCCGTTACCGACAGTCGTACACTCTTCGGAATTACACGCTTTGAAATAACGTTTTATGATTCGAGGATTAATGAAAGTGTGGGACATCCACTATAACTTTAATTCCCATATCTTTGCACGTGGAAGGTACATTCTCAGCAAAAGCATTACTAAATTAATTTCTTATCTATATACAGTGCATATTAATACAATTAACCAAGCAGTTGACTTAGTTTAATTGATTAGTACCGCAAATAACACACATATTCTCATTTTTATACAGAATACACAGGGATACTAAGCTGTCTGCGCAAATAAAATGGTGTTTTCCGGAGGTGCGAAAAGTTTTTTCCTGCTGAACATCTAATGTGTGAAACATTGGACTTCAGACTTCTGTTTGAACCTTGTATTTGGCTTTGGAGAAAGTTGCACATAACTAACACATCTGAGGAATAGGAAGAGGCAACATCGACAATTCTTAATACTGAACACCGGTACTTCTGCTGGAGTTGGAAGACACAAGACCGTCCAGATGCAGTTTCGACTTTTCTCGTTTGCGCTGATCGTCCTGAACTGCATGGAGTACAGTCACTGTCAGTCACATCGCTGGAAAAGGAACAAGAGAGGTCGGTACAATGAGATGGGATCCTAATTTATCCATCATTAGAAGTCCTTATTCATTGCTTTCGAGGGCTAAGCTTCTTTTTTTTTTTGCACGAAGCCGCTGTAAAAATAGACCATACCCTTTCAAGTCTAAATTAATGTTAATTTCGCAAGCCACAAAACACAAATGAATAAGCCGTATAAGTCTTGTTTCAAATGCTTAGCTATTTTTACATAAATTCTATGACTGAAGTTTGTAACCGTAACTCACTTTAGAGATGACAAAGTTAATTCCTAAGAAATTTAACGGGTTGTTTGTTCTAATGACTATCACAGCATGAATAGTCTCAGTTTTGGCATTTTAAAAGACTGGTAGAATTTTGTACCACATACTATTTTAAAGCGAACGATATAAGAATCACAGGATTGCTGGGTGTCTAATCGTCATTTGGCTACAGTGTGTCAGTGCCTTTCGTGGCTTTTCTGCACGCTAAATTATGATTGAGGTATTTAAGATACCGAACTGTATTCGTAGTCTCTGAAGATTGTATTACCGTTGCATTTGCGCAGATGTATTTCTGATAATAGTCCTTCTCTAACAGAACGGTTCAAGATAATGTAATGCAGTCGGGAGGTATCATAAGGTAATCAGAAGAGATAATGAGATAGAGATAATGAGATACCTCGCAGAGACAGATCAGCTATCTAAATGATCGATTTTATGATGTTTAGAGTAGCTGTAAGTGATACATCCAAGACGTCTACCTACCCAAGAAAACCCTGTTGCAGCCGTGCCCAAAATATTCTCTGTGGTAGACTGAAGTCATGTCAAGTTACTTTCAAGGACTAGAAACAGGGCATACCGGGTTAAACTGAGGAAAATTACACCAGCTGTTCAGGCAAATCAACTCTGAAAACCATGGGACAGATTAAATAGACGACATCCCTGCGTGGTGGCAGGTTTTCACAATATCACCGTGGGTAGCGATTTTTGAATACTCCTTGCATGTACCGTTGTTCATCAAAGCTGTCTCTTGCCCAATAGGTAACACTCGCGTATTTCATAGTAATCGACAAAAAAGACACACAAAAGTTCATACAGGATAACGTGTATGGCAGCAATTCTATTTATCTTTATTCATTCTAATTAATCAAACAGAATTATAAGTATAAAAGAAAATAGTGTCCAGACGGATTTCAGATTTATTACCACGCAAGAAAATAAAAATAAATAAAGTCCGTGTCACCCTTCGTGGTTCACCCCTAAACACAGTTTATGCGCATTTTATGATCTCAAGATTGTCGTGTCTTTGTGTGCTTGTGGAATCAGAGCGCCCCAGAGGTTTAGCAAAGCTATTGCAGTTCATTATTGCTATTACGTTGCAACAATGTTAATAAGCCATTTGGTCACTACTACGTTTGAATGTATTACATGTTTATGTGGAGACATTGTGGAAACACTATTGTTTTTGTTTTTTGTTTTTTTTTGGGGGGGATTGTGCATTTTTGTCGAACGAACTGGAAAAATGATGAAAAGGAGAAGAGGAGTCAGAAATTATAGTAGACGCCCCAGTCATAAAAAAAATAGCTAACCTCTTCTCAAAGTGATCAGGGTATTGAGCGATCTGAAACTTCTGAGTAGGCTGAAATGTGGAATGTCATGTTGGTTTAATTTTATAAGCACTACGCAACAGATGGTTTGCAGAGTTCCTGCATTTTTAGAGATAGGATCATAATGCACAAAAGTGCCCAGGCTATCTGTGCCAACAAAGGGTGTACTGTGTCTTTAATTAAATGTGGAACTGCTTAGTGAGGTGGCTAGACAGTGGAGGACTGGTAGAGCTGTTGCGTCTGTCTTGGAGCTCAGCTTAGGGAAAGGGTTGTGGGAGTAATTTAATGAATAGAGGTTGAACCTCTGTCATATGAATTGGCCCTCTACAAAACCCTAAGCTGGTTTTAATTGATCTTATATCCACTGATTGATCTTTGAACAGTTGGTGCTTGCATAACAATTGGCCCTCTACAAGCAGATGGATTTAGTTCTTGAGTAAATACAGGGACTTTGAATGAATGACCTCGCACTTCCAGCTGAAATCTGCTTGCTTGTTAATCTGTATTGCTTTTCCAAAAAATAAAAGATGAACGCTGAGCATATTTTCAGATTCCATGCAGTACGGGGTTGTAGCTGGATGAAATGCACATTGCTGAAACAATGCTTCTGCTGTTGCTTGTATTACTAATCACAACAAAAATGAATTTAGTAATTAACTTGACAGAAATGGCACAGGATACATCAGAGTGTGTTTCTGACTGTAGTCCTGGGTTTTGTAAATTGCAGCCCCGATTTGCATTGTATATACTGTATGGAGGAAAGGGAAACCTACTCTGCAGTTGTACTTTTTCCATCGCCCATCTGCAAATAATCAGGCAATCACTGCAGGGTACTGGCAAGCAGAATTTTTCTGGTATTCTGTTTTTGTATGAAGATTGTGTGATCTCAGATGCTCCATAATATAATTTTCTTAATGGGATCAAACTTTTGGCAGAGATGAAGTAGTTAAGTAGGGAAAAGCAAGCAACACATTTAGCCAAAGGGGCCTGTGTCTTTCCTAATTGTGCAAAAAAGGTTAGCGCTAAAGGGTGTTGAGAGGAAAGGATCTGGCTTTTTTAAAATGTCAGGTTAACCCAAAATATGACCCGCAGAACAATCTTAAGCCTCATGCGTTTTATTTTAAGCACTCTGAACTTTGGTTGCATTTCATTCGTTCTGGTAAAACTCTCCAAGTCACGTACAGATTTTACAGACTTTAGGAAAGAGCTCATATTATTCTGAAACCAAACTAAGGCCTCGAGCTGTGTTTGAACATGGTAGCTGGGATCCAAGCTGAGGCTGTAGAGCATCCTTGATTTATTCTCATTATTTAATTAATGGGCAAGATGTTTTTTTCCTTCTGCCCAAGGCTGCTTTTAAAACCCTTATGTATACACAAAAGAAATCCAAAGTGCCAAGTTTCCTGAAGTAGGAACATTTTTGTAAACCTATATACTTAATAATTATATTAGACTGCCACCTCATTAGACTGGAAGAGTTCCACTGTGTCATGAAAGGCGAAATGTCATTTGGTTGTTAAAATCAGTTTAAATTCGCTCAGTTTAGGTAACAAGACTTAGCGTATGAAATATTGAACCTGAAAATGTATAATGTTCCATTTCAAAGTAAAAATGAAGATTTAGCAAATTTTTCACAGGTATATTTTTCTAATACTACCTTTCAAGCAAACAGAAAAAAATTTGAAAACAGGTCTATGATATTATCTTTCTCAACAGGTGATTTTTTTCCTTTTTAAAAAGTAATATCCATGTCAACAATTTTGCCTGAAACCAGTTACACTAACCTATATGAATAAGTGAGTCAGCAAGGAAAACAGTGCATCAAAATAAGGTCAGATAGAGAGTAGCTATTTGAGGCGTGGTCAGCATTTCACAAAATACCTCATAATGACTAAATTATGAGGTATTATGACTAAACTCACTTCAGAACTGAAAACACTGAAGTTCCAGAAGATCTTGATTAGTGTTGTGTTTTATGACTTAGCATCAGAAAAAGTAACAGATAAAAAATGTGTGTCATTATAGTAAAAGCAAGTATTATTTTTCATTTGTATTTTTTAGCTAATGATGCCACCTGCTGACATAGTAAAAACTAAAGGACTAAAGAATAGACATTGCTGAGAGAAGGAGGCAGAAATACTGCAGAGCTTGGAACAGAGAACCAAATGCACAGAATTCAGTTAGTCTAATCTCTGTATATTCATGTGAGTAGCAAAGTTTGTTTAAGGCAAACTGTACTGATTGTGTATGTGCATTACTGTAATAATTCAAATTTAATGGAGTCTTTAAATCCTTCCATTCATTTTCTAACAGGCTTCAAATGATTCAGGGTCACGGGGTACACCCTGGATGGGACCCCAGTCCATCACAGGACACACAGACACGGAGGAAACCCACATGCACACTGAGAGAACATACAAACTCCACACCGACATCACCACAGGGCTGACACTGAGCTCAGAGTCCCAGTACTGTGAGACAGTGATGCTAACCACTGCGCCACCTAGAGTCTCTAACGTGTATGTGACATTTTCGTTTTCCCCCCAAAATGATCAACATTAAGTTTACAGACTTTCCTAGAAATAATATTGTCGGAAGACATGTCTGAAAAATTAGAGGCATAGTTAATTCTGCACAACTTATATGTGCTTTCTTAATTTTCATTTGATTTGTAGCAAATGGGGTTTTGGTGATATTAAAGGCAATGCATAGAGAAAGATCCTGGAAAATGACTAACTTCAGTGCAATTTCAAAGACATTTCCCCAATATTTAAATGGTCGAGAACTTCCATTCTACTCATAAAGACTAACTTTTGAGTGTCATCCTTTCAATTTCTTCAAATGAGCACCTAGAGGAAGCTGTTCTTTGAAATGGTAAATGCATGTGGTTTGCTAATATTCTAAAAACTACTTATTAATGGCCTTTTGCAAAATTAGGTGCCAGTTGTGTTACGTAGCATTTGGTTTTCATTAAACCAATGTATGCAATCTGAAATACAATTAAATAATTTAATTAAGGTAGTTAAAAAGGAAGTTAAAGGATTTCATTGCATAGTGGAACTTTAGTGATAAAATGGTAAAACTACACAATAACATAACAATTGAGATAGTAATACAAAAATGATAAGATATTTGATTATACTTACATATATAATACATATATATACTTACATATATATTTAATTTAAAATTATATATTATAACTGGATTTTACTTTTGCAGACGTGCTTTAGTTTCACAGAAATGTTAGCAATACTTATTTATACTTGCACAACCTGTACACTTGTGCAGTTCTTTAATGAAGAGCATGGAAACTATAAAAGTGTCAAGCAACAGTAAAGAATGCGTGTTCCAGTGTATCATGGAATTTGTTGGCATAAAATCAGAAATACCAAAACATTTTTTTGTTTCT